ATAATAATAATAATAATAATAATAATAATAATAATAATAATAATAATCATATAATAATAAAGGAGACTAGAGACACAAAAAGCAGTAGATATTGTGAAGGATTTACAACTTACTTTCTGTAGCATTCAGAGCCTGATATGTTGCAAAGAATCCTACATTTGATACGGCACTGGCCACAAACAGAACAGTCATCTGAGCCCCAGAAGATGTAAGTGTTGGAGGGATTTCATAACCACAGAACCTAATTAAACAGATCATTATATAATATTGTGCATACTGTGGGGGAGTAAAATCTGTGTTTTGCGATTTATTGAGGACACTTGGCTTGGAGCACAATAAACTAACACATTTTTAAAGGTTGCAAAATGTGCAAAGGAGAGAAAGACTTCTATTTTTGAGTCAGTTGTCTTAGTAGAAACAGAACTAGCATTGTTACACCTTTAAACAAAAAAAACAAGGTTAAAGTCTGTGCTTCTTCCATATGCTCACATAGCTGCGCACATGGATAAGACAACATACAGTCTAATTAAATATACAATCATACGTTTACACTGATGTCCAATACTGTAACAATGCATCCTCCACTGAGGTGCCACAGTATAATATAAATGTATCCGAACCACTCTATCACCGTGACCTCCACCTGGTAGCTGTAAAAAGCGCTCACTGGATCCCCTGCCCTCACAAGAAGTATGATGTCGCTTTTTTTAATCCAATATCAGACTGAAGGTAAGGATGTTACATTTTGATAGAATTACTGTACTTCTTTATAAGCCAGACTGAGCTATCAATATAGCTTTTCTTTTCCATATTCTGACTGAGCTCTTTTGTGCCACTGTGTGGGTGTCCAACTATACCTTGGAGAAATGTCTCTGCAAACGATCAATCTGTTTTGAGGCCATCAGACCCATTAGTCACCCAATCTGACTTGCAGTAATTTCATCAAAAGAGAACCATCCTTATCTAAAATGGGTACTGGGGGCATTACAAACGTGTGTTCTCACCTTGTACTTCTTGTGAAATCAGGGGATCTGGCCTTATAAGTGCCTTATACAGTGTTGCAGTATTGGACATACTTTGGTGTGAACATATGATACAAAAGTGCTGCATTCTTATATTATTGTTGCACTTCTGTCTGAATCTCCTACAGGATCCATCAGAGATCAAGAGATTAAGACCAAGGGGGGATCACAGAGAAGGTGGGGTTCAAGGAGGTGTATGTGGGGGACCTAGATGGAGATAATAGCACCTTTTGTTTGTGGAACAGTACCTTTGGCTCTACCCTGCATGTATGGTATTATACATCACTTGTCTCCATCATGTACTGTATATGTGAGTAGTTTTTTTACCTCTATATACTGTATATATATCTTGCATCCAATAAACGGTATCACACAAGGAAAAGGCACTGTCCTTTCTGTTTGTTTCATTGTCTGTAACAGTGCTGCCTAAGATATAATTATTTCCCTGTAGCCTGTTAGGAATAGCCTGACTTTCTTTGAGCTTTCAAAGTGTGATACCGTACATTCATAATGTATGTAAACTACATTTACTAATTGCAAATGGTGCAGGATTTATATTGCCTTCCCCCCTAAGCTAACTGTCTGGTGCTGCCCCTAATCCTTACCCATTTAACTGGCTAGCCTTAGTATCACACTAACAAGACATCATTACTACACAAGGCACAGAGAGGCTACGGGTGGAGTTATACCCACTCCTCATTAGTACTTCTAGAACCAGTCTCTAGAATTTTATGGCAAACTAACACCTTAGTCTTAATAGCAGCTTGTTTCTAGGTGTATAGCCCAGTGAGTGAGCAGTGCAAGTACACAGTACACTATTCAACAAACAAAAATGCACAGACTGTGCAACAATGAGGACCTTGGTACATTTCACTGGCAGTAATTGGAGCAGAATGGAACCTTTTATTATGCACTGGAACGTGTTACTGACAATCAGCAATATGATGTGTGGTTCAGCTGTGTGCCACCCGTTCCAACCTTGCTTGCCTAAACCACACAATCTGGCCCTGATTTTAGGGTAGAATTATATTCCAAAAATCCTAAATAGCTAAACACAGATTTATTTTTATTTTATTTTTAGCAGGTAGAGCATGTGCCTGATTGATCCAAACTTATAATGAATGAAAATTAGGCTTCTCCGAATTACTAATTTACAGGCCAATATATTTTAGGAAGAAAGTATGCACCAAAATGTTCAGTCTAGCAGAAGTTACTTACCTTCCCATCAAACTGGCAATCCCAAATCCAGCACTGTCATGGACCTCAACATAATCATAACTGCAGCCTTTCTGGGACACCAGGCTAAAGTTGTGGAATTGCAGTTGGATAGTCAGTCCATCTGATACAGAGATAAGCCACCGACAAACAGTCTTACCAGGATAAAGCTCAGGATGGCTGGGGGAAAAGAGAGACCCTTCTAGTGTGCTTAAAGATCCCCCACAGTCTGAAAGATAAGAAAAAAATAATTGTTTTGAATTGCAGGTATTATTTTTAAAAGAATACTCTTTAGTCATATACTTTGTTTGTGCCTTGAGATGGATGCTTCGCATGCATTCACTACCATAGAGATAGAGAGGAAGGCATCCGCAGAGCAGGTATATAATACAGGTTTGGATCCCATCCTTATTATCAGTTATAGTGTTTTATTTTATAGGCTTTATTTTCAAAAGAAGACTCTCTAGTCTAGTAGCCTGCTGGTGTCTTGGGATGGTGGCCCCGTATGTACCCACTACAGGAAACAGAGGCAGCAATGAGTAGCAATCAGGATATGGAGGACAAATATCAAAGCTTACCAGGACCAACAGGAACCTTTTACTCAGATAATGTCTGAGTGCAATAAGCAACATTTATATTTGCTTTCCATTGAAATCCCAGCTTCTACACAGAAAGCAAGGGTCCTTCTCTATAGCATACTGGCAGGGGAAAGGCTTTGTTACTCAGGTTGTAGCTGCTTTCTAAAGAAAATGAACTGGAAGACTATGCACACCTTTTGTTTTTGCTAATGTTTTGCTAATTTACACTGAAAGTTCATTTGAGCTTTAATAATAATAATATTAATAATAATAATACTATGCATCTTATCTTACATAGATTGGTGACAATGTTCACACAATTATGGCAATTAACGATGTTTACATTTGGAGATGAACTGCAAGTCAGGTTTGGTGAAGGGGGAGACTGCCTGGAGCAGCTTGTATGTAGGTGTTTATCTGACACATACCCCACTGGCTCTGGCTGCAGTTTTTCTCATCTGTCCTGTCTGCGCAGTCAAAGATTCCATCACAGAGGGCTGGAAGTAAGAGACAATGCCGTCCATCACATAAGAATTCATCCCACGAACAGCTTCCTACCAAAACACAAAGGTTTTTGGTCCTCATTTTGAAAAGTAACTCATACACACATTTAAAAGATGTTAGATGACCTTTAATCTTGCCATGTATCACTATACTCTAGGATAGATGAGGCTAAAATTAACATTTTGTTGATATATAAGAAATAGATGTTTACGTTCAGTGGCGTCACAAGGGGGGTGCGGCCCGAACCCGGGTGACACCATTCGAGAGGTGACACCAAAATGACTGGCAGTCATTTTGGTGTCACCACCTCTAAAAACTAATGGACTGAGAGCCTGACAGTGTCAGGAGAGAGGAGGGGACCCAGCGGCATACCTCATCCTGCCGAGTGAACATCCCCTCCTCTCTCTGCCGGCGTCCATCACCAAGATGGCCGCTGGCAGGCGTCAATTAGATGGCCACGCATGCGCGATGACGTACAAGACTGCATACTCATATATCACCAACAACTTGAGGAGCTTTATCTTCAAATAGGGTGTCTCTTTGTAGTCTTTATTGGAATTACCACTCAGGACAAGGCTAATACAAATCCTAACATTCTGATCTCTGTTTTATTGCCATTTTAGATTTACTCTAACGACATACCATGAAATATATTTCCAAACACTGACATGTGATTGAGACTCCTTGGGCTTGATTTTCCCTTAGCTTGGTGAATGTGGTGAAAAGTCACTTTGTAAAGAATACCCAATCACCTACAAGGAAAATAAAAACAGTATTTTGCTTGTACATGATTGGATGATGGAAGCCAGCAGAGCTTTGCCTCATTCACTAAGAAAATTCCATTCGCTTAGTGAATCAGGTGAGGGATGATTTACTAAATGGGTTATAGTTATAGGACATACCTTGGGTAGGCTCAATCATTTGATATTTTGCAAAGAAGCCTACTCCCTCATTGCGGTCATCAGACACAAACTGGACTTGTAACCAGTGTGAGCTAGAAATAAATGTAGTGGGGGTTACAGAGCCACAGTACCTGCAGCAATGGAGAAAGTCATCATGAATTTAACATCTATGTCATTTTAATCAAACTTTCCCATTGCCTTACATTTGAGAGCATACCTGCTTGATGTGTTACCGTCTCTGAGCTCCAACCAATCAAAAAGACAAAAGCCATAGCGTTCCACGTCTAAGTACTGGACTTTCAGCTGGACTAGCCTTCCTTCTCCAGCTTCCAGCATCCAGGAGCAGTGAGAATTGGGAGAGTAATGAAAGGGATAATTTGGAGAGCTTAATATTCCTTCAGAGTTACTCAAAAATCCACCACACACTAGGAAGAAAAGGAAGACAAACTTTCATCAAAGATTTTATTGTATTCTTGAGGGGGTGGGGGGGGGGGGGGGAAAAAAAAAGAAACCTTTTTTTTTTCATTTTTTTTACTATCTATCTATCTATATATCTATCTATAATCATATCCTATTTTACCCTGCATATAGTCAATCCAGCCTTTGCAACCATGAGAAATAAAACTAGCCCAACAAAGTTAGAGAAAAACAAGAGAATTTAATTGATTTCCTGATCCATGCTAAACAGCATGGGTGGAGGACTTTCCAGTGCTGGCTATTGCCTACAGACAACCGCAGCACCCACACCTGTCTAAATACCCAACCGGTACCTACATCTGATTGCAAAAATCCACATGTGAATGAAGCAGAAAAAGCTTCAAACACATGTATCAAGCTTTCTGAACTTTATGGTATCAGTCCATGGATGTCAAAAAGGTAGCGGCACTCTTGATACATGTGTTTGTATGCGCTATGTGTGTTTGGTGCCCTTTCTGATTCATTTACATGTAGATTTCTAAAATCGAGTTACCCCTTTTGCTGGGAAGGCCTCTGCTCGTGTGCTAGTCGGGTGTCCTTCTTTGTTTACTATTGATGGCATTGATAGGATTAAATTCCTATTTGAGACTTTAGCACCTGGATCTCCTTTGTTTTCTTATTTGGATGTTAATAGGTGTGCAGAGGATATCTCTATTCATTGTTTGTGTATGGCCAACACAAGCCTGTTAGTAGAGGGACATGCTAAATTGTAGTTTAGTCTTTATTAATATAAGCCAATACTGGGGGACATGATTCAAACAAATTCAATAAGCAGTTAAAAAGGATATTGTATACAATTCCTTGCTCTAATTAGCAGCATATTAAAGGGTTAAACAGCCAGGAAGGCGAGAAAATAATCGCAACCCTGCCTGGTGAATTATATTGCTGCAGAATCCATACACTACAGTGAGGTACATAATATGTTTTTTACAATAATGAGAACCAAAGACAACTGTACAACCTAATCTTCATATTTCGGAAGTAAACCATACGGTATTTGACCATTTGTATGTAGATAGGTTCTTGGAGGAACCAAGCTGGAGGCACCATTGTAAGTCCAATGTGTACATAAAGTCTCCAGCACTTCCCAACCCTTCACCCTCAAACTGCACCCCCCACCCCACTTACCTGAATCGCAGGGTGCTTCTTTAAGCATCCTATTATTTTTATTTAGGGCGGTAGAGGGATCTGTGAATGGAAAGACACCCTGACCACAAGGGACTCAAAGCAGTGACGTCACCATACTGTATTGTTTACTTCCTCCAGCTCTGTAACAGAAGATTTATACCTCCACATGGACCTGCGGCTGGGATGTAAACAATGCAAGACCCTGTGCATTGCACCCACAATGCACTGATCGCAGTAGCAATGCTCTCCAGTTTTTCATGCTAACATTTTATAATTGCACATTTTTTAATTTTACTCATTAACCAGCAGGAAGTAACAGTACAAGGAAAGGGGGTAAGGAGTCCGAATTCCCCATCAGAATACAACATAGGAGAAACATCACAGCCGCTTGCAAACCCTGGCACACCAACTGGGTACACGGCACATGTGAATATTCAGGTGATGTCCAGGCTGGTTATATAGGTTACAAGAAGATACACAGCGGGTCGAATCTCCAGCCCTGGGCTGAGGGCCCCCCCTCGCAAGTGCATTAGGAGTAGGGATGGGCGACCATCAGTTCAGGTCGCCCCCAAAACGAGTCACTAAGTCAGGTGGCGAGCCACAGTAGAACACCTGTGGGGGGCTCGAGCCGAATGTAGCCCTCCGCCTTGGAGGATCCATATCGGGAAGAGGGTCAGAGTAGTGAAAAGGCAAGGAAAGCCAGGTGGGTAGACGAGCTGGGAATAAGAAAAGAAATACAACAGGGTGTAGTAAAAGTGTAGCAGAAAAGTTCTTAGGAAGATCCCACCCCTGCCATGGGACCCTCACCCCTCCGTAGGCCAGTAGATCAAGAGGAGACAGCCTCCACAAAGGTAGCTGATCCCCTAAAGGTGTACCAGAGAGACCAGGTGTGCACATGTGCCTCGCCAGCTTCTCGCTCCGTAGCCAAGAGGCTCTCAAGGTCTGCTATGTGGTCCATCTCTACCGCCCATTCAGCCAGAGTGGGTACCACCGGCGTGCGCCAATGGCACGGGATGACTGTCCTGGCAGCCGTAAGAAAGTGTTGCAGGAGGCCCCTTTTCGCAGATTTCACAGACCCGGGGAGCATCGAAAGCAGCAGGATCTTAGGGTCGTTAGCAATTTCAATTCCCGTCACTCTGAGATAGGCCCCCAGCACCCCTCGCCAGAACTCCTGAATCAGGGGACAGCTCCACCAAATGTGAGTCATGTGACCCAGGGACCCATTACAGCACCAGCAAGAGTCCGGGGTGGCAGGGTACATGCGGTGGAGAGTCGCCGGGCACCTATACCACCTGGTCAAGATTTTAAAGTTCTTCTCGTGGGCTTTACTGGCAATAGAAAGAGAATACGTGAGTGCGAATGAACGATCCCAATCAGCCTCCGGTATAGTGGTCTCCAACTCCCTCTCCCACATCCGGGTGTAATCTGGCAAACCGGGGGAAATCATGGTGGAGAGGATAGAGTAGATGAGGGAGACTGTGTGTGTCGGGGGTGTTGAGGCCAGGAGAAGGGAGTCAAAAGCTGTGGGTCTTGTCAGGAAGCAGTCTGGGGTGGAGAAAGATTCTACGAAGGATCTGCACTGACGGTCAGCCAACCAGGTGCCACCGAACGCACCCACAGGAGTGGGCGAGACCGGAGTTTGAGCTTCCAGAGCCGAGGACAAGCGACGGTGGGTGACTCTATCCCAACGACCCAGGGAGGGTCCAGTTAGCGCTGGAGGGAAAGCCGGGTTACCAAAGAGAGGAGTCATCGGACCCAAGTAAGAGGAAACCCCCAGGCGCGTGATATATCGATCCCAAATCTTCAGGGTGTGGGAGGTCAGGAGAGGAAGAGTAGCGGAAGCAGGTCTGGAGCCAGGTTGTATCCAGGGTAGTGCTCCAGACAGACCCATTGTTTGTCCCCGGCATGGTGGAACCAATCTACTATGTGGACCAACACCGCCGAGGCATGGTAGAGGAAGAAATCAGGTGCGCTAGCACCCCCTCTGCGTTTTGGCAGAGCCAGGGTTTTATAGCCGAGCCAAGGGCGGGAGGATCCCCAGATGAATCTTGTGAAGGCCTGTTGGATTTGTCTCAAGTATACTGTGAGGAGGGCAATGGGTAGCGTCTGGAACAGATATAAGAACTTGGGGACAATGTCCATCTTGAGCACATTAATCCGTCCCAGCCAGGATAGAAATTTACGGTCGTACGAGGCCAGGGCACCAGTCACTCCTGCCAACAAGGGGCGGAAGTTCAGGGCATAGAGGTCAGCCAGGTTCCTGGGAAGGTGGACACCCAAATATTTCAAGGAGATAGGGCAAATACGGAAGGAGAAGTTGCTCTCAAGGAGGCGGAGATCCTCCATTTTCAGAGAGACATTGAGGATCTCTGATTTAGAGACGTTAACCCGGAAATTGCTCAAGGCACCGAACCTCTCAAATTCCTGCAAAATAGTAGGCATAGCGACATGGGGCTGTGTGATATAGAGTAGCAAGTCATCCGCGAACAAAGCAAGTTGAGCTCTATGAGGACCAGCGAGTAAGCCCTGGAACGCAGAATTCTGACACAGAGCTACCGCCAAGTGTTCCATTGTAAGTACATAAAGGAGAGGGGACAATGGGCACCCCTGACGGGTACCGTTAGAGATTTGAAAACTAGGGGAGAGCGAGCCATTGACACGGATCTGGGCCGATGGGTGTGAGTAGAGGGCCATGATACTACTGAGCATGCGGGATCGCAGGCCCAGCTGTGTGAGAGTGTGCCTGAGGAAAGTCCAGTCTAAACGATCGAACGCTTTATCAGCATCCACGGATAGGAGACACAAAGGAGTGTGGGATGTTTGTGCATAATGCATCAGCAACAAGGTCCTGATAGTGTTATCTCGGGCCTCTCGGCCCTGAACAAACCCTACTTGGTCTGGATGAATTACCCCCGGAAGAAGAGGTGTCAGCCGATTAGCGATCAATTTGGCAAACAGTTTCACATCGGTGTTAATCAGAGAGATCAGCCACATTTTTTTATTTTATTAAAGCCCCACCCTGGGCATAACACAAGCCCCCACCCTCTCTAACCCATTGTTAACGGTGTGACAACACTGCCCTTCTGTCTGTAGGGTGGCTACTCTTGTTCCCCATGGTCTCTGTGTGCTGTAAGTAGTCACTGCTTTAAGCTCGCTCCTGTGATGGACTACAATCTCATGTTTAGTTTACTAATTTGCATTGAGATTTTAGTCCATCACCGTTGTGAGCTTGGTGCGGTGACTACTTTACATTACACACAGGGATCATGGGGAACAAAAGTAGCCACCCTCCAGAAGGAAGGACAGTCTCAGCATCAATTCAGAGATGATTTGAGGATCTACAGTCAAGTGATACACAAATAAAATACATCTCTGGTAATAGTTATTGTACCTGAATGTATTTTTAAGATTTTACTCCTGAGTTGTGTCACTTAACATTTTTAAAAGGGGACTGTGTGATGATGAAAGGCCTACAAAGCTTATTCAATTTCTGGAACAAACAGGGATCCCAACCTGAAATAAAGTAATTTCAGGGAGGTGCCCGAGCACCCTTCTAAAATGATGGCAGATAGCAAAGAAACTAATGCTGTTTTTTTTTTAGTATTCTGACAGGTGCTGCCGTCAGAATAAAAAAACAAGACGGCATAGAAATCAATAGTTAGATTGCTATTGGCTATTTGAATTTGCAATAGCCAATAGCAAGCTGCCTATTGCACCCGTCCTCTGCTGCTGTCAATCAGCAGAGAAAGGACCTGATGGAGAACCTCAGGTCCAACTCTGCTGATTGACAGCAGCAGTGGGCAGGTGAAATAGCTAGTCTGCTATTGGCTAATGCAAATTCAAATAGCCAATAGCAATCTAGCTATTGATTTCTATGCCGTCTTTTTTTTTATTCTACTCTGACGGTGGCCGGCGGCTCCGATATCATAGTAAGAAAAAAACAGACAGCGGGGAAAGGTTTAGTCTGCTAGATCGAGCAGAATAAACCTTTCCCGGGAGAAAATATTTCTCTCCTGGGCGTCCGGGAGCTGCTATCTAATAGCAGGAGACTTCTGAAACATCCAGAAGAGGTGGGATGTCTGCACAAAGAAGACTGGTAAAATAATAATATATTCATGTGTTAAACACTGATACAGAAGAAAACATTGTAAATGCCACCCCCTTCCTTAAAGGAGAACTATGGGGTTAAGTCTTTTCCCCATAGTTCTCCTTAGGGTAACGGGAGGACACAAACTAGCGTCCTCCCGTCACCCTAGGCTCAGTATACCGCGAGCTGTAGCTCGCGGTATACTGAGACGCTGCAGCTGAAGCGGATCCCGACAATTATGTCTGGATCCACCCAGCTGCGTGACTGACAGCTGGCTCTGCCTATCTAGAGGCAGAGCCAGCTGTACCCGCACCTTCCCTGTCCGTTCCGCCAGTCAGCGCTGGCGGATCGGAGGGGGGAATCCAGCCCCTCCCCTGTCACGGCAGAGAGCCGTGACAGGATCGAGAGGTGAGCGAACGCCGGTATGTGTTCGCTCACCTCCCGATCTACTGAGCCGACCTGTGACAGTCTCATTGTCACAGGTCGGCTAGAACTATGAGGTGAGTGATAAGCACTCACCTCATAGTTCTCCTTTAATAATTGTATAAAAAGGGCATTCAGATTATTGTTTGATTCGATTTATTTCAGAATGTTGCTGCTTTCAAAGAAAGATGCTGCAAAGTTTGGCCTTATGCAAAAAGGAAATATTGTGTCCGCGTTTGGGAAAAATAAATATTTCACAACAACCTCAAAATATTAGAAGTGCCAAACACACATTTGTGTCAGACATGAATGTGCTTCGCACGGTTCACTAAGTTTCAAGACGGAGAACTTGAAACCGTAAAAAAAGTAGGGCTATGGAAATTAAAGATTCATTTCTCGATTAATTGTTAAACTTTTTGATCGATTAAAATTATTTTGATCGCTAATGAAAACACTCACCTCTCCGCCGGCTTCCGGGAGTCCTGTCGGCGATCCGGTGACATCATCGGACTCCTTCC